CCTGTGGAACCTTTTTTTGTTAAGCTTGAAAACAATATTCTAACTATACGAAACTATAACTATAAGAAAGGTGAGACCAAACCTAGCTGGGCTAACATTGTTCACTTGTTTGAGCCGAAATGTTAGCACTCACTTCCTCATTGCCATCATCTCCAGTATCTGGTCCTTTTACCTTTCCTCCTTGACATTATCCCTAAATATCATAAAGGAGGCCTCTGTGTTACTGAGCCTGTGGGTCCAGACGAATCTATCCATCTAAGTATTTGTGTCTCAATTGACCATTTTGAATTTCGGCCTACTGTGTTCCAAACAAGGCAATGCACTACTGATTTTAATATCACTGAAATAAAACCCTTACTAGCAATCGTAAAATAACCGTATATGTAATAATGGTATTGATCCAATTTTACACTGACCAGTGTAGTCTAGTCCCAAGGCGCGGAGTTGTGTGCTGGGCCTTTCTGGGCGCTCCATCCAGACCGCATCGATCAGGTTATCCTGCACTGCCACCAGAGAGTGGCCAGCACCAGTCAGCGCCTTGGACATGTTCTTCCACTGATCTGAAACATGAAATCAGAAGATTGTGTTAAGATGCACAAATAGTGGTTAAAAGCACAATATTTTATTGACAATATAACAATGAGGCTGTGCAGGAACCAAAACAATTATGCATTATCACAGCACGAGTGCACCTGCCTGAAAGCTTATGAATTTACCAGTTAATGTGCAATTAATCTTATTTTGTGTGTTTATATCTCCAAAATGTAAGATTTTTGTTTACTGGTACATATTTCCTGCTGTATTCTGAAAAGAATACAGTGTTTATACTGTTCTGATTGTCATTGTGTTGATCCACTGCTCAACCTACCAGCAGCAATGATCCATGGATCTACTCCCACTTTGGAGTTTTCCGGAAGGATGCTGATCAGCCAGTCCTCCTGAGAGGGTGTCTCCTTCAGCCCTAAATGTTAGACAGAGAGGTGAAATATACCTGATCAATACCGGATCAAAGATTATTTGCCTTAAAAATCTAGTTCAGACATAAATAGGACAATCTTTGTTTTTCATTCTCAAATTAGGTCAAAACATTGTGACTTACAGTCTAGTTGTGATTCCTGCCTCATCATCAGTGCTTTCATAAGTTTGATGCTGAAGGTATTTAGCTTTATGTTACGTATGAAGAATGGTTTCATTACAGAATCTGTAGTGCAAGATTATTAGTATTTATGCTTTAAAAATGTGCACAAGTATTCAAAAATAACCATGTTTGTGTTTTAGTGTTTAAGAGCTTACATAAGACCACTAAGAGGCAGTTGTTATATTCATCATATACAACAGAAACACCAAGTGGGACATTACCCATCTTCATAAGGGTCCAGTTGTTGTCCATCTGCTGACTGGCCTGGAGGAAATAACGCCCGTCAGTCCACATTGCAGCGTGCTGCTCTGTGACAATGGCCGTACCTACACGTCACAGCAAACAAAGTAGATTTGTTTGCAGGAAACTTAATACTGGAGAGGTGATACGCTATTTTATTACTGTCTGTCTGTTTCTCCTCTAATGAGTCAGTTGTGCTTGGACAGTAAGAATCCGGATCAAAAGCTGTTCAGTCAGCTCTGAGAAGCAAAATATACAGTATATGCCTCTGAAATTACAGCCGTGAGCAAACTGTGTAAGAGTGAGTGAGCTCTCAATCACGCAGTAACATAACAGACACATAAGCCACTTTGCCTGAAAAATATACATCCACCTTCTAAACTGAACATGAACCCAGAACAGTTCATTTAACACATTGTTCGAAGTTTTTCTAGTGGAAATTAGACCTTAGCTTCTCGTCTACTAATATTTTAACTTTGGATGAATTTTCAACTGGCAACACGCCCATTGCCACTCACACACACAAGCAAAACATACCTGCAGAGCCATTAAACCCACAGATAAATTCCCGTCTGCAGTCACAGGGTGCAATGTATTCACTCTGAAAGACACAGGCACAGAGAGAGATCAGCTTCATTAACAATCAGTGTAAAGTGGCCATCGACCAGTCAGACATTTTAAATACCACCTTGGTGCTCTTCTCACATCACGTCTTATGCATGGAGAGGAAAAAGGGAGTTGCAGCAGAGGGCTACAATTAATTGCGAAGGTCAGGCGAGATGATAAAAAGTGACTCAGGACAGGAGTCACTTTTTAGCAGTCACTACTGTGACCTTGTGCATGTGAGTTTATGTTATGTTTAGGGATCACTTTAATTGTGTGAGCATGTTTGAATGTATGTAAGTATGCTGTGTTTGTCATCTCACTTACCTGGTGTGCATCTCCTGAAGGTACAATGTAAGCCTGTATTGGCTCAGAGAAATATTTACAATTCCTCATGGCCTGGCGAAGCTGCCTGAGCAGCTCTCCAGTGATCTTTGGAGACATGGCCGCGTCTGAATGAAGACAGAACATGACGCACAAATTAAAGAAAGAACATTTAAGTCATAATTCTTGATACCACACTATATCAAACCAGAGTTACAGTAAGATGACGTGATTGTGCAAAGTTAAGGTATTACCGAGTGCAGACAGTGTTACACCTAGGCCTTTATGATGCGATAAGAATCTGTTCAATCTTTAAAAGCGCTCATTTCAAACACCTAACCTTTTAAAAGCAAGAGATGTTACTTCATCTATTGTTATTCAAGCCCACCCTGATTATCCATAGATTACCTGACTTTTGGGAAGCCATGGTGACTTCAGGTGACTGGAGCTGGACAGTGACTGACTGTAGCCTACCTGACTATGAACGTGGAGCTCAAAGTCACAGTCCACACCTGGATCTTTAACCTGCTGTAACATGCTGATTAAGCAACTGTCTCAGGAGTTAAATATTAAAAGAACAGACTAATGAGTGCAGATTTGTGACCTACTTCCAGTCTCTTAAATCTAAGGGCCAGAAGATACTGTGCAGCGGTGAACTCACTATCACAATCCACATCCACTGTCTGGCGGTATAACTCGCTGTAAAACGCTAACACGAGTCGACCAATCACGTTGCAGTATTCTTCACCGAGGAGCTCCCCTATTGGCTAAACCCCCCGCACGCGATTGTTGTTTACAAGTTTGCGTTAGGTGAACCAGTCCGTTGCATATCTAACTTAATAGCTAAGTTAGCTAACCAGCTGCAATAAAAGAAAACAGTTCCGTGTGCTGTGCTGATAAGAAACAACAGAGGTTGGGTTGAAGTGAACGGGTGATGTTTCTTTCCTCTCACATAACAACAGGCCAACCACAACCCACAATAACTGATTCATTCAGTGTGCAGCCGTTCATTTGAGTAGAGAGGGCGTGGTAGCTACAATATAGCCTTATTTATAAAGTTGTTAATTAACCCCCCCTCACACTTTCACAGCTCCACGTATTTAAACGCTCTCCTCTCCGCTTTGTTGACGGACAATACACCACAGACACAGCCGTGGGATGACCGACCGTTTCCGTCTTATGAAAGCAGTGAACATCCCTCCGTGCTCGCTGCGTGGCCCCGGGAGACGGTTCTCTCCGCACACCGCCGCTAGCTAACGTTAAAGTGCCCCCACATGCAGCCTGCGAAACGCCCAATACACACCCGGTGGTTTCGTCTCGGAAATGTGACTCTCGGGTTAAAAAAACGAAGCGCTCCTCTTTTACCAGATTGGACCCTGTGTCAATTTACAAGACAGGAGGCTGCCATTTCGTTGTTGACGTTTGTGGTCACGTGGCTGCAGTTTCTTCCAGTAGACGCGGAGGGATCCAGACTCGCCTCTTTTTCTGTGAATAATCCACACCATCATTAATACACGATCACCTCGTTTTATTACATTTACTGGCACAGTACACAGTAGACTGGGCTTGAGTGCAGCAGCCCAACATATGGAATCCAAAACTGATACATAAATCTGAAAAGTAGAAAAAAAAGGCAATTTAAAAACTGATTACATAAATAATACAATTTAATTATTTACCGGTCATAGAAAAGGTGAATAAAATAAATTCCAAATTAGTTGATGGAATTAACTGAAACTGAAACTTTAGGATATAGGCCTATTAGCACAAATGGCATATAATATTTAAGTAACTATGTTTTCATTAGTGTGTAATCACTCACAGAAACAATCAAAATAAGAATTGTTGTTGTTGTTGTTACCTTAGAATGAGCCATTTTTATCTACAGAGAGAGCTGGTCCTTTTCTATGGAATCATGTTGAACCGCCATGTTTCTACAGTAGCCCAGAACGGACATGATCTAAATAGGCCGCCGTAGTTTCTCCTTCATGTTCGTATTCAAATGGTTGCAATCTGCAACTTCACCCCAAGATGCCACTCAATCTTACACAGTGGTCCTTTAATTTGTTGAATACATGAAGTCAGTTTATCTTTTACAGAGCAATTGTTCTTTCCCCTTTTTTTGTCTTGGAACACATTTATGGATGCAGTCAGTAATATTTTTGACCCATCTGCGTGTCTTGAGTCAATGTTGCCTCCATGAGGACTCAGTGGTGGTTGGTTTAAAGACCTATGATCGGTCTATCTGTAGGCTGTTGTTTATCAGTTTCTTGACTCTTTTTTAAATAACCCATTAAGTCCTTAGTTGTAAATGTTAATAAGTTGTTAATAAATTGATTTTGGTCCAGATTCACTGCAGCAGTTTTCACTGTACATGATGAACTAAAAAAATAAGAAAACCCACCAAGTGTCCTGGAGGAGGTTGAACACCTGCCAACACACCACCTGGCTTATAACTGATATATAAAACAATAGTTAATCATTTGTGAATCATTAACAAAGTCCTTAGTTAAATGTATTAACTCTTCACAATACTCTGTATATAATATAATATAATATATAATATAATACTATGTCTCACAGGCTTACTGTCTTACTAAAGCACTGTCTGAACTCACTCATTTATTCTCATGCATAAGATGTTTAGAGGTTTAAAGCAAGAACAAAAAAAGATTACTGGCACAAAGCATACAAACATTATTGTATTTTATTCACAATTTCCAAATATTTACACAACATTTGACATGGATATATAGATAGTGCATTAATAAAGTAAAGCAAAAAAAAAAGTCTGGATATCTGGAAATGTACAGCATTAACTTCACCTACCCATTTAACATTATTCCAAATTAATAAAACATGAACAATGTCTGTTGTGGAAAAATAATGCGTCTATAATGGCTAAACTGAAAAGCTACTGAATAGTTTGTTGCCTAAAATGATTATTACAAAAAGTAAAATAGCCAGATTGTTAATGATTGACAAAAGTTGCAAAAAGAAACACAATTGATAATTAATTAGATGACCATCATATTTCTTGGTGGGAAACATTTCATTAACATATTCACATTTTACAATATGAGGATCCATGTATCCCCACTGATGATGCATCGTCTGGATGAATCTTTGAGCTATACATAAGTTGTAGATGGCAGCAGGCAGGCGACAGCAAACATCAAGCCAAGAAGAAGAGTTCCTGGCACCAGCAGCAGACCTGCACTTCCTGAAAGCATCCGATCATAAAGGCGTCCACAGGTTATTCACGCAAGGAATGAAACTTTATTATAAGACACAAGTCCTGTTGAAGCTACAACTACAGTATAGAGCATATACTTACTTGTACATATGTCAGCCTCTTTGAACGTGCCCATCTTCTCGCTGGTTTTGACAGACTTCAGGAGTTCTGTGTTCACGTCCCCTTTAAGATACAGACAACGTGGCAATGCTTAATTACACATAGACTGTCCACGCCGCAATTACTGATTTGTTACACTTATTACATTGATTATCAACCAGAAATGCTGCAGTGTATTTCAGATGTTTCAGAAATAAGAAATAAGCTATGTTACATATAGTAGCAGTTGTTTTCCTTTCAATTGGTTGTCAAGTAGGAGTGATTGTTTTACTGGTATTTTTGCCTCAGACGGTGATCAATGTCAATAATTAACAATCATTTCTATTCTCTCCAGCACTCATCATCACACACCCTCAGCTGCATGCTGTTTGAAAACTATTGTGTGTACATCTCTCTGCTGTATTATTCTCATACTCATAGGAGACCTTCTCAGGATTTATTGCAATAGTAAACTCTCTACCCTGTGGGAGACTTCTGAGGGTATAAATGCCTGTCCTGTGTTATACTGTGTGAAGCCTCTGTACAGACACTTCTTTGTTCCCCTGTGGGACAGAGGAAGGGACAAAAAAGGGACACACAGACACTCAACTCCAGCATCAGGTTACTGAGCAATCTTTCAAGTTTTCCAAAGATTTTCAACACCCATAATTGTTCATTGTCCTGATAAACACAGCCTGGGCACACAGCTTGCCCAGATAAGTCATGTAAGACTAAAGTGTTTATGGACTTACATGCTGTACATACAGTCTGATAGATTGAGATTATATTACATACAGAAGCTTTGTGTTCTATTTGTGAATACAGAACCTACTCATCCTGGTCATAATGTAGGCTTATGCTGTATGTAACACTCCTTCTGTTAAATCAGCTTTTATTCTGTTCTGTTCTTTCAGTCATGGATGGATAAATATTCCAATAAGATCTATGTTATTTTTTTCTCTTTGGTACTCCCATGTCCTTCTTGACGAGACATGCTTTTTTTTATGTCAGTGACTTGTGAACACTCAGTGTTATTAACTATACTATACTACTATAATACAGGACGTCAAAGTGACATTAAATTAAATTTCGTGATCAAAACTGTCTCCACCACGTTCGCCAAATGACCAGTCTGTTGAGAATTTAATGGTTACGCCATTATGAATTCCAGTGTAAATAGAGGAAGAGGAATCAATCTTCCTTGTGATCTTCTTTACTCATGTACTCAAATGTTGTTGTTAGCTATACAGTTTCTCTTGTACTGCAAATTAAATATGCTGGTGTGTTGATAGGGGAAGAGTTTTCGCCTTACCAGATACCATGAAGTTGACCTGCTGGCACCTTCCATCAGCTGCAGACCTGGGAGAGTTGGGCAGGATGGTGACTCTTGCTGTTTCCATCTGCAGGACGTCTGCAACCCTCCTACGGAAATCATATCTGCAAAAAAAGAAACGAATGCATGAACTTCAGGGATTCTAACGATTTCTTAGTAACACTTTATAGTTACGGTACAAAGTACGTGTTTAAGTAATGATAATTTCATGGATAAATAAAGTTATTCTTGGAAGATGTATCATGAATTCATGTCCCTTAAAGTCACTATGAGTTTATGTGAATAGTTAATGGTTAATGGATAATCAATTAATGATTGTTAACACACATTACCAAATTACCTGGAATCCAGTAACGTAGGAAAGGGGTATTTCAGACCCACGCATTTAATCAGCCAGTACATGTTCTCAAAGAAATATGATGCTTTTTTAAATCTAATTAGTCAGATGCTTCGTATTGCTTGAAAGACACTGCAGTCAAATAGTAATGTTGATGTTTTCAATTGTTTTTGGAAGTAAATGTTGTGGCACCATTGCTTAAAATATCAAAATGAACCATCCAAGATCTTAGCAGACTGAGAAATGCGTCAGTCACTGTGTTTTAACTTTTAGAAAAAACTAAATACTTCCTTTGGAATTGCCCCACTGTGGGACTATTAAAGGAATATCTTATCTTATCTTATTTTGGATTGTTTTATTATCTAGGAGACATTCTGGTATGAATAGCACAGATAATACCCCAGATTACTTTGACTGTGGAGAGTGATGCAGTCCTACTACATCTACTGGTGCAGATGTAGTAGAACATTATTTAGTATAAATATGCTATTTGAATATGTTTCTACTTTTTGGATATTTCCTCTGGTAAGCACAGCAAACATTTTGAATTGTGTAGTAGGCGTTGTCTGCTTGCCAGTTGTGGCTACAAGTTGTTCTGTTTCCTCAATGGCTGAAATATTTCATGAAGGTTAATTTGTTTCAGCATTGACAGGTCTGAAGGAAGTTTTTAAATTGCCAAGTTTAAGAACAATGGTTGGAGTCCAGAGAAAAATTTAAAATATGAATTGAAATGGAGACAAACAATTGTTTTGCAATAGTCTGGTGATAACTTTGACATTGACAAAGAGCCAGGCACTTATGAATGAATGGACTTCTAGCTAGGTTTTACAGTGTACAGGACTCATTCAAAATATACAGCTCACAAATCTGTTACAAACACATTGTTTTTAACACTTAATTAAACAGATGTTTTAAATTTCTATTAGGCCTAACAATTCTTTGACGTTGCAGATTGAAACCATCTGAATATAACTCAGCCTTACAAGTCTGCAGGAGAAACTACGGTGGCTGCAAAAGTCGAAAGGTCTTATCAAGAGCCAGTGTTTGGTTTGTTCATTCAGGGACAAACGCCATGTAGAAAAACATTTTCAGGTGATTATACACTAATGAAAATGTACCTAAATATATATTATTAAAGGGTATTAATAACACAGTGGGAGTTTTTATTACACTCACCTGCTGAAGTTAGCCACGTTGGGAAAGGTCTGCTCTGCTGAAGGGGATTCTGGGAGGATGTCGGCACATGCAATGATGCTGTCACCAGTCTTCAGCACCAGAGATCTGTGGACCACTACAAAAACAGACAAACATTAGCTACGTCTGTTCTTTTCATATTATTATATAAATCATATTACATTAATTTATTTGGGTGTAGAACTAAACTAGCAAGAAGAAAGCTAAGAATCCCTTAAAGGTTTTATTTCAATCTTTCATTGTTACCATTGATAAATTCGCTCACACACTTTCATTTCTGTGTGGTACCTGTGTTGTCTCCGTGGAGCTGGATAATGCTGTCAGTGTAGACCTGTCCCTGAGTCAGGCTGACTGAGCCTTGTCTTGCAGATACCTCTCCCACCACACAGCTCAGAGGGTTTTCTAGTGAACAGCTGGAGCTCTGAAGGGGGAACAGAAAGAAGTGAAGGAAATTATCTGACATTTAATGGCCATGTTTTAATTGCTCAAGAGTAATAGACTTCCCTTCTCTGCACAGCTTTAAAGTTTTATCCCCTTGTATAGGCCTGTACATATTAAAGGACTTACAACCGAGTGTTTGATCTTCCATAATTTCTAAAAACATAAATCCAATTGTAAAAGCCCAAGTATTTTCACAAATTAAACTGAGCACTGGGCTCATTTTTAATGATTACAATTACAATATGTTGCCATTGGTTTTCAGAGATTGGAAAAAGTAACATGATTGGCCAAATAAAAGTAACTTGACAAAATACAGAAATGTATTTCAATGCCTTGCTTATACAGAGCAGTATATACACTAATAAAGCATTTACAGAGATTATTGTTATTGTGTAACTGCGCTGCTAAAAAAATATATCAATGTAAAGGCACACCGATCAAGCAGTTAACTCAGAAATCAGGCTGATGATGGGATTATGTAATTATCAAAACTGATTTAAATGTATTTGCTTTGATGATAAATTTGCTAATGTCTTCATATACAGTGAGTAATTTAAGAAAAGAAAGAAAAGTTCACTTATTTAGATTAAGAAGTATTATCAGCCTCCCAAAACAGTTTTCTTTTTGACTCAGGAAGCGATGAAGTTCAGAAATTAAAGAAGAGACAGTCTGGTCTTACCATTGATGTCATGCTGAAGGGATTGAATGTGTCTCCCACACTGTCACACTGGCTGTTGGCGCCCATACGGTTGATGAACAAAGACGCCTGCAGGGAGGGATAATTTACATGTCTGAACATACTGTTTTATGTATCTTTACAACCTTGTGTCCTTTCAACTGGTTATACACATTGTCCTGAGAATCAAGAAAACATCAACAGGAAGCACAATTAGACAAAAGGTATCCATATCTGTCCATATACAAATGTATCACCACCTTAGATGGTACCGTATTTTTGTGCATTTATTCCAGCCTTGGAAAGTGTCCCTTCTCTTTGGACTCAATTCCTTGGAACTCATGGAGATTATCTGGAATATGAAACTCAACACCTTTCTTTTGTTGCTAGACCAACTCTGGCACTGTCAACATCGATCTATGTGTGGGTCAAGTATGTTTCCTCCTTGTCAGAGACATTGGTACCTACATGGCAGCAGTTATGGGTGCTAAATGAATACCATGTACAGTGCAGTGTTTCTGTCTGGCACTGGATATGTGTTCTCTTATTTCCTGATCCCTTTTCAAGTTATTGTCCATTCTACTATTCTACTAGCAGCTTTCGCACGCACAGCTTGTCAGGTGTGTCACTATCTTTCCAAGTTTTGTGCAACATTATGTAACTTTTCTACCTTGAAATAAGTTAGAAAAGCCTTCAAAATCATTTTGATGCTACACTGATTTGTAATCGGGGGATGGTACCTCTGTCACACCCACTCTGTGTCCTGTACACCTTTTTTTGCACTATGTATGTATGCCTGGGTTTGGATACTGTCAATGGTTGGGAGTGCATAACGCTTATGGCACTAAGTAACACCTGTTGAGCTGCCCTTTTGGCGTTGGAGCAGTAAGTAATTTCAGCTGGCTTACTACGTCTTGCGCTGTTGCACTTGCTTGATGTTTGGCTGTGTTAAAAAAGTTGTTGCTTGTTTTTGAACATAAGTAATGTAATTGTAACAAACACATGAGTACAGCCGCAGTCCATTTATGATAATCTGCACTCTGAATCCAAATCACAGAGAATACAGGTTCTTTCATAATGTTGCTTTAAATGTTGCATTGTTGATGCTAAAAGGAAATACATTTAATCGTATAGCTGATTGTTGATGAGTCTCATCTGATTTCGATTTTTGTTTTTTGTATGTTTGGCTTGTGAAAACAAACTATATAAAGTTATTTGTGCACATGTGTATAGTATATGGCTATGTACTTACATCTAGTCTTGTCGTTGTTGTTGATTGAAGGGTCGCTTCCAGTGTGATATCACTGCTACTGCCATCAGGAAACATCTGCTGACGCTGAGGAGAGAGAGAAATATAATATTAGTGGACAATTATAGTAGACAGAATTGAAGGTGCACTGTCATATTCTCGTAGTAGTTAGTTCAACCAGAACTTGATGTTTGCTTTGCTTAAACATTAAGGCAGTTACAATGGACACCACTGGGGATTTGTGGTTATTGTACACAATTATGGTATTCTTGCACTCACTCTTTGGCTCTATTCAATCAGTCTGAGCAAAACTAGCACATTTAAGTTCAGGGGACACATTTATTTCCCAGACGATCATTTTCTCCTTGATAATATAGCCTCTTTTGAAATAACAAGCCCTTATCCATAGATGTAGTGCAGAGCTCAGTATGGGGCCTCTGGAGGATGGCTGACAGAGACAGCTGTTCCCTTGGTGAGCCTACTAGTTCAGGGGGCCTGTAGGTTCCCCTGGCCATAGCAGACGGATGTTAAGCTAAGGTAATGATATCTCCCCTGTTTCCCATAGCCGTTTGTTGCAACCCACCACAGGCATAATGAATTCACTGTCTGTCCAGTGCAGCAGAAATACTCTGTCATGTTTTTGTGGCAGCTTGGCTCCTGATAAGTTAGCTAGAAAGAGACCTTGTATGTGTTATGTGGCTATAGAAAGAAAAGCATCTGATTCTGATTCTTACAGTTTGCATCATAGTATGGGAATCTTGGAACTTAAGTTTTGGTGACAGGCTGGATTTTTTATTAGAATTGATTACATGGTATTTTGGGCATTTCTGCATTCTTAGATAGAGGAAATACTTTCAACATCCATTTCACAATGTCAGTGTCAAAATGTCCTGTTGGCAAGTTACAGACCAAGGCAGAGTTTGTAATCATAATTAAGATGGGTCATATTTTACATGACTCAGCCATCTTCAAGGCAAACAACAGGATTACAATTTAAAAATGCATCAGTTTTTCTTTGAAAACATACTGAGCAGAGGACACGTTTTTTATTATTATTAATTGTATTGTAATTGTAATACCCCCCCACACACACACACACACACACACACCCTGACAAACACCCACATATTCACCTGTTCACAAACCCACTGAAGAAACAAGGGAAATCAAGCCTTGTAAGCAGAGACAGAAATGAACCTTATTTCGTTCTTATAAATTTATGTTGAAAATGACATCAAATATGTTTCGACAAAGTTTTTTAACTTGACCTTGAGCAATAAAAACTTGACAGCTGGGTTAAGATAACTATAATTGCACACTACCCACAGTTAAATACAATCTTTGAAATGTGGTGTGGGAGATGAAAATAGCCCCGATTCTACACACCAAAGCCTGCTTATGGGTCTTGGGGAGGACAGCTGCATATTTGTAGCATGCTCCTCGTCTTTTCTTGAGGCTAGCATCTTGAGCCTAGATTAGCTGCTATTTGTTGGACACACCTGAATCTGCAGCCAAACTGTCGGCAGATGAGTTGCATTTCTGAATAATATAGCCGCCGGGTTTTGACAAGGGAGATGAATGCGTGGAATGAAAAAGACAATATCTCAGGTTCAGCTGTAATTTTTAAGTCACCGTCCATCATGAGTCTGTCAATATTAGAGGCAATAATTAATAATAACAGCCACTTATTAATTTATTGTCGCTGCAACAAATTTGTGCATCAATGTTTCCAATTAGTGGAAACACTTTGGCTGGCTGTTGTTAGTTCTTACCAGTCTCACTGTCCCAGTCACTGTACCATTGAAAACAGCCTTGGCAATTATCCATTGTCCATCTGAATCTCTGTCAGCTAAGATGTCAGCACACCGCATTCTGTAAAGAAAACACACACGCATAGATAGAAATGCACAATTCACAGACAAGATGAGTAAAACATATCCAAATCCTGCAGGATCCCCCTTCAGAATTTTCTCCTTCACAACATTTTGTTGAGTCATTCTTAGTGAATGAGGTACATTATCTGTGTGTTATGATACAAAAGATGACACGGATATGACTCGATGTCTATGACACCCTACACCTGTAATTACCCTCAATAGACTGGCCAAGTCTGTAACTATGCCAGAAGGCTGCTGAGGGTGGTGAAGAGATGTCTGCTCATGCTGCAAAGGCATCACTGCTAAAACTCTACAGCTGCTGTATTCTGTATCTGTATCATATATGATGAACATAAAATGACAAAAATACTTTTTTGCAACAAATACCAAAGCATTGGTGTTCTAGGAAATTATTCAGTGGCTACAGTAAAGCAGTTATAGTCACCATTTCTTCATCAGATATAGAAACCTGTGGTCATATTTGTGAAATATTTCCTCATATCTCCTTTTGTATTTCACTTTCAGTCTCTTTTTTTACCCCCCTTTCCCAAGTACAATCACATAAATGCCCACAGGTTCTCACCTTGATCCGTTGGAGTAGTGAACCACCAGTGATCTTCCAACTATGCTGTAGGGTCCAGTTAATGGCATATCAGGGTCCATGTAAACAGCCTGAGACTGGGCAAGGTCATTCAGCATCCCAAACTTCCCACTGATGTCCCCAATCTCATATTGGTCTACTGTGCCAGCTCCAGGCGCGGGGCTGTTTGATATGTTCCAGGCTAAAGGGTTGAAGTGACCCAAGATGTTTGCGTTGGAGCAGGGCTCTACACTGCCAGGTTTAATGGGCAGTATGTGAACGTGGTAACCCCCAGCTAAGGAGTTCAGGTTCATCAGGGATACGTTTATAGTTGTGGGGCCTTGTGGGACAGCCTGGGAGAACCGCACCTGGCCACTTGACATCTCAGGGCCAAACCACGTACCTAAGCTAGCTTTAGGAACCCGCACCATTGTGACATTCGCACAAGCAATCCTCGGCCCCCCTCTTTCTGCTTGATGGATGACCACAGAACGACCAATAATGCCTGACCCGGGCAACCAGGAAGTGACATCAGTGAAGAAGTTTTTTGCTTCCACTCCGCCCACTTGGGTGCCGAGGTTGATGGTACTGTGTTTGCTAGAGAGGTCTCCCACCTCGCAGGATACGGGACTGGATGGACCACAGTGGAGGGTATAGCTGGTGTCTGTTGTGCTAATGTTGAAAGGGTTCCAGTGTCCTCCTGTTGTGCTGCAGCGCCTTTCGTCATCGTCCCTCTCTGAGCGGATGGGGAAGGTGTGAACATGCCAGTTGTGACTTCTGGTTGGTGTCATTGTGGAATTTCCATATGACAAATCCATGAAGATGGACACGTCAGACAGAGGATTGTTCTTCAGCTGGGTGAACCAGATCTCACCAACCACAAGGTTCTGAAATCTGGCTCTGGCTACAATCACTTCATCGGGATAGCTGATGCTGGCACAAGCAAACCTGGAACCATCTGTTTTGTGAATTACAACTGAGCGACCAACAATGCTATTCTTTCCAAACAGAGGAAGATTGAAGTCCCTGAACACCATGTCCATTTCATTTTTCTCCGCAAGGGACGAATGCTTGGCACTGAGGTCACCGATCTCATATCTGTCATGTGTTGAACCAGGCACTGTTGGGTAAGTTGGGTCGTTTGTGTTGACTCCAAATGGATTCCAGTGGCCACCAACATTATCATTAGAACACACACTTGATTGAGGTGACCTGACTGAGGGTACAGGAAAATGGTGGACATGGTAAGGGCCGACTCTGCTCTGTAAGTTAGTCAGGTTCACCCTCAACTCTGTCACCTCAAATGGGGAAGCCTGACGGAAGCTGAAGTATCCTTTGATCCCTCTCATACTCACAACAGCTCTCACTTGTTTCGCTGGCTGTCTATAAATCTGAGCACACTTGTAACTTGCCCCCATGCGGATGAGAAGAAACCCATTGTTTTTGTCGTAGCTGGCAAGGTCCAGACGGGATTTCTCAGGCTGTAAAGGGGTTCCAACTTTTACAACACCCAGATTGGTCAATGCTGAGGGATCTAAGCTTCCCAGAAGAACATTACAGCTTGCAGCGGTGCTTGTAGATCCATAGAGAGTGATATTGGTTTGTGAGGCATTGACCTGACCGATTGTAACTAGGTCTGCAAGCAGCCTGGGGTTGGGCTGTCCTGTGTTAAGGCGGATGTAAACATTACCTGCAATGGGGCCGGTGAACCTTGCCTGAGAAGTCAAGAGAGTTTGATCTTGACTTACAACCGTGCATACTTTAGTGCCATTACATGTCTGCAAAGTCAGCGAGAAGTCATCCAGGTTTGAGCTTTGTTCGAAGAGGCGTGACACATTGACGATGGGGTTTGAGGCAGGATCTGCTGTGAAGGTAAAGACACTGGAGCCGATATTTGCTTCAGAACAAGGCTGAGCATAATGGCCATACATGACAGGGAACTCGCTGAGGGAAAAGTTAAGTGAACCACAGGATCCAGCGCCAGACACTTTGACCATAGCCGTTTGGGAGGTGGAGTTAAACTGTACATGCCCTGTGACTCCTCCCATGTTCAGAGGTGCCAGAAATTGAACACAGGAAAATGAATCTGAAAAGGACAACAAGGAGGAGGAGATGTAGTACTCTGGTTTACTACACTTGTTAAGGCACAACCCTACTCAACAAACAGACGGCCGATGATCCCGCAAAAGCCTGAATCCCCTTTCTAAATGCTGAATTGCCACTGTTTAAATAATGTCCCTATAGTATCTGTGCACATTACAATATGGTTAATGTTTTGGAAAGTTTCTCATCATGGATTAAGGATGCCAAAAATTAAAGATCCCCTTCAAACATTAAGAACGAACATACTGGACTTGGAATAATAATTTACATTTTTTTTGCTAATTAGTAACAGAATCATCGTTTTACTAATGGACATAATATGCCTCTTACTTCACTGAAAAGTCCTTACTCAGTGTATGTTAAATTTAAAGTTTGAATTACGTTTCTAAGAAAAACTAAATGACCATGAAGGGGTTCAAAAGTAGCAACTTTCATTAAATTAAAATTTATTCATTAAAGAAGATGAAGTGGAAGAATAATAATAACGATACAAAAAGAGTGTGCATCGCTTAAGTGAGCACACTAACTAAATCTGTTTTAACATGTATTTTAATGTTGAAATTTGCTCTGTGGGACTGGTTTATATATGCATGCTTGTGTGCCACATTAGTGGCATCACACTAATGGGCGAGTCCAGACAATTAAAGGTACATAATTTGAACAGTTTAAAATCATACTACTTTTAAAAGGCAAATGCACATATAATGCAGGTTACTTTGAACATGCTAACCTATTAATGTGAGACAGCTGTGACAGGTCACCATTTAGAGACACATTGCCACTAAACCACAGACTAATTGCACATCATCACTGGACTAAACTACACATAAAATTATATTTTAAACAACCTATAATTACCAACTTTAAACAATTATTTTGTTAGGCAAGATACTATACAGTAGTAGTTTACAGAAATATATATCTGTAAAAGCACTAACTTATTTAGATCATGCCATTCATTCATTTTGTTCTAAATTAGGTCCTATGCACATTTTAGTTTCTACTCTCAGTCTAATGTTAGTGGCCACTTTCATTTCTTGATTGTTATTCAGCCTGTATAGCATTTGAAGTGAGACTTAATAGTGGAAATGCTACTTTCACAATGTGACCCTAGTCTGACATTTGACATTTAAATGCTGTTTAAATAGATTAACAGGACAATACAATACAATGTACATACAATTTGACTTCCCGTTGATGTTAAGTGTTAGCTTTCTGTTGCACATCTTATAGACCCTATCAATTTCAGATAACCTGACAGTTCATTGACTTAAAGTATATGCTATAATTTACGAATTTACTCATGAGACAGAACTTTTGAGAAAATTGTTTCTGTAGTCAGAAGCTTATAAAACAAACATACTATTTAATCCTACATGTGATGAAATGGTTGGTTATTGTCAGTCTCTACATTGCATACTTTGGTATTTACTTATAGTTAGAGAGTGCTTGCTAACAGCATCCTTTAGATAGCTTCAAACCTTTCCACAACATAGTTGACTGACAGAGGGAGATGCAACCTACTAAGCTTTCATCCTTAAACCCGAATTGCTGGTGTGAAATACTGCACATTTGGTCTCAAAAAGAGTTAAAGGAAAGTTAAAGCAGTTTTAACCAAACCCAGCATTCTTTGGTGATGTGCCACTCAATAACCAAGGATCTGCAGATTTTCCCTTCCAACCGAGAATTAGAGCAGCTAATAAAACACATCAACCAGGGCAAACACACAAATCAGTAATATGACCATCTGTTGGAAGACGACCTGGCAAACAATAATAATTAGACTGCTGATAACATAAATCATTACTTCAGTCCATGTTGGACTTTACACAAAGTCAAAGATTGCAAATTACTCACCTAGTAAAGAAAACAGCAGAGCAGCTGTCAGAAGGTACATGTTGGCAGATGTGTGCAATACACACGACGAAGAGAAAATGTATATTTAGAATTAAAAGAAGATTAGATTAGATTTAAAAAAAAACTTGGAAAAAAAAACACTGAAGTAATGCAAATCCTCACTGAAGGTGTAGGAAATGAGCATAGAACAGAAGAAGTTCAATGACAGCAAAATGATGCAGTGTGTGTGTGTGTGTGTGTGTGTGTGTGTGTTCTCCAAGAACATGTCATGTGTGACTGCTTTTCAAAAATGTGCAGCCTCCCTTGTGCTTCTGTTTTTTAGCTGCAGTCTGTCAGCCTGTGATTGGTTAACAGGGCAATTGTATTTACTCATGTGTGGAGGTATAGGGGAGGGAGTAAGAATTTTTGGCAGCCTGGATGGTGGGTGGAGGTTGCACGCCACTGCTGTGGCCAATATATGGGCAGAGGAAGGCACCTGTTGTGTTGGACAGTTCCAAATGTGAAGTAAATATTCAGTGGTTGTTTACAGAGCTAATTTAAAATAGCAATATATCAATATTTTTTTATTGATACAGTATTTTTGAGAGGATTAGTAGGCTTGCTAGGTTTGTAATGTATAGTATACTGTAATCGCAGGGGTTATACTGACCTATCTGCCTGTTGGTCATGGCATGTTGCAATGTTTCTAAAATATCTCTCAGTTTTAGTTTGTCATTGTTTCAAAATTTGTTTTTAAATCAAATGCTTCAACCCGAACTTCATTAATATTATATTATAATTGTCCCCAAATTTGGTTTTAATGACAGAGATTGCAGGAACACACTGATGGCAATGAACAGCAACAATATCAAAGACATGTATTTAATACAAATACAGTTAAAGAAGATAGAAAACACAGAACCAAATCAATTGTAGTTCTAGGTAAGATAAAATGCAAGTCTCTGTATTACATTAAGAGATTCAGCCTTGTATTGACTGCATGAATATTTGCAAGTAAAAAGTAATTGAATAATCTTTTCATCACCCCAACATAAATACATGTATAGTATATACGGACATACTGGGTAGGACTGCAGACAAAAGCGTAGCCCAGAGAGCTTGTTGCCTCACAGTTTCATGTTCAGCTGGTGGCTGAGTTGTGGTTACACTGTCTATTCTTTTCGTTCCCATTTTACGACCCTATTTCTGCCTCTTCCTCTTCACAGAATATGCCTCAGCTGCCCTTGTGACAGTGTTGAAGGAAAAAAATATGGAGAGAAAATAGTAACTTGTTCTAAGAATAGCAGCCCGATTGCCCATCATTGTGGGCTATTTGTGGTAGGCCACGTAGCTATTTACACATATTGGAGGGCCTGTGAAGTGGGTCAGGTCCTTGTCTAGATGGATGGCTTGTTTGGATCACTGATTGCGGCAGGAGCCGGAATCGTGATGTGATCATGTCTCTGTCCCTACACGTACACAGAGGCTTGACATTTGCACTTGCACACACACAGAAAGTAGGCACAGAGAGCAAAAGATTTGGGCCAGCAGGGACATTATGGTGGTAGTTGTTTTCTTAATGCCACACAATATTACACAGGACGAACCTGGGGAAGCTTTAGTGTCTAAAGATGTCTGGAATACCAATTAATAGTTTTATAAAATGACTTTGAGAATTTTATTATAATTATGATAATATAATAATAGCTTTTATTTCTATAGCACCTTTTAAACCATAAGTGCAAACCTAATGGATAAAAACGCACACGTAAAATACAAGTATACAAACATACATACATACATACATATCCTTCCATACACACATATGTATAACACACAGCAAACAAAGGTAAAAGGAAACAGCATTTTAAAAAAGACTAATCTATAAAAGTGAGTTTTTAGCAATCCATTAAAAGAAATCATGGAATCAGCACATCTGATGGAATAACCTCCTTATTCCAAAGTTTAGGAGCTACAACTGAGAAAGCACTGTCACCTTTGTATTTAATATTAACATTCAGATTACAGTCAGCACTGTCAGTGTGTTTTGGGTAAGATAAGATAATCAGTCACAACACAACAAGATCACAGTTTTAATGTATTTAACATATAAAGATAGTTTTAAGACTTATGTTTACATATTTTCCAGAAGTTCACAAGGAAGTTCAACGTTTGCTACCATTCCATTGACTGGTACAGATATGCACAAAAACATTTTCTTTAATTTTAATTTTATATGACAAACAATATTCAGATCCATGTGATGCTGTAGATTCAAGAGCTCAAACTTAGATTTATTGTGTCATACAAGCTGGCAGATCACTCTGAAAAAAAAAAAAACATGACTTGACTTATTTTAGGGTGTGATGTGTTTTCATATCATACTGAGAATACATTTCAAACAATGAACTGGATGTTTGCCAGGGGTGTGGAGAGAATGTCATATAACAAAAAAACAGAAAATAGTCATTGGCACCATTCTGATTATGCTTGTGATTTACGATTAGTCACACGTATCTTGCTGAGTCAGATCAGCACTACAAGTAATGTCTGTTAAACACTGCACTGATTGCTACAAATGATTGCTTTTTTAAATTTTATTTTATGTTTTGTTTTTGCAGGTGACAGCATTACTAAATATATGATAAAGAACAAAAAAGGAAAAAATGGTCATACTTATTTTTTCAAACTACAAGGTACTAAAAAGGGGAATTATTTTTCCAGCCAGGGCCTATAAATACAAAAACACACAGACAATCTACCTCAAGCCACAAAATGCAGAAACAACGTTCTGTTCTGCACCAAATTCTTTTTATTGCCTTGTAAAATGATCCATCCTTGCTTCCTTACAACTTGTTTTTTTTATTTAATACTTATACATCACATTACACTATAATTGGTGGATTTCTTTAATTCAGTGGTGGAATTTCTAATTCTAAATTAAAGGATTAGGGTCATACAAACTGCACGTATCCAGAATCTCTTCAAACACATACCAACAGTTGTTGCCTCCATGTGTAGATAGTTTCCATACATCCCTTCTTCTCTTTGCAGTCACGAGGACGATGCCGAAAACCCTCCAATTATTTAATTGACATTTTTCAGGTTGTCATAAGACCTCAGAGCGCATTAACAATGAGCCCTGTCATCTGTTTCCTTATCCGTGGTAAATCATATTTTTTTAAAAAGCATTTCCCGTCATACATTGATCACTGAGTTTTGTTTGGCATGTATTTGTTTGGAGTGCCAGCTGGGTGGAGTTGGGTGTCACCTAAAACAACACCCAGAGACAATCAAGCATTTTAAAGTCACTTTAGTTTGTTAGTTTAGTTTTAGTTTCCTTCATTCTTTCCTGATTTTGATAAGATGTATGAGATGCTGAGATGAGTTGATGTTCTTCCTGCAGAACGGGTTCGGATCTGATTGTGTTGCATTCATTTAACTAGACAAAGATCAACTTGCAAAGACATGACATCTGCCTGAGACAAGCAATCAATCAAAGTCTAAAGTATACTACTACTGATACTATACCACACTATTATAGTTTTATTTTATTTATTTATTTATTTATTTATTTTATGGTTTATTATGTTATATTACTACATGTCACTACTTTATCTTATCTCATACTATATTATTCTATATTATGTTACAGTTATCTGTTATACTATGTTTAATTGTTATGCACCATCAAACCAAGATAAATTCCTTCAATGTAAAAACCTACTTGGCAATAAACCCGATTCTGATTCTTATTACATCATATACTTACGTAGTTATATTTCTATTATATCTCTATATTAATACAGACAAACACTGAGTATCCTTATTTAAACATTTTCTATGTTAGGCTGCTGTATGATGTTTACATACACTCAACTTTATGACCGCTGCTATTATTGAAATCACACCACTGTAACTTTACTGTGTAATTTTGTCTTTAAAGTTAGCGTACAGCAATAATAAATATGATTTCTGAGTTTCTCACACCAAAGAAAAAAAGTGATATTAACCACCCTGCTACATTTGAATGATAAAAATTGCATTGTTCTCTGCTCTGAAACGCTGTGTGCTCTTTTTACTTTCTCTTTATCTGTATTCATATATGTCCTTGTGCTGATGCAACAACTGAATTTTCCTCTTGTGATCAATCAAAATCTGTATGTGCAGTTCTTTACAGCAATCACCTATATGTATTATTATTATTATTATTATTATTTAACAGATTGTATTTGTGACTCTGGCTGAGCCTTTAGATTTTCATCCACAACCACTGCTTCACACAGCTAACCTAACTCACACACACACACACACACACACAAACACACACACATCTGGACACAAATCCACTTTAGAAACAAGAACCACGAGATTATCACGATGAAAGAAATTCAACACAGAAAATAAAAAAGATTAGAAAGAGCTGAGTCATCCTCTTCAGCCTGTTTATTATAGGTAAGTAATGTCCCTGGATCTGCACTCACATGATTCATTTTGGTGTACGGGTGCCCCATCTACAGGCCAAAGCCTATACCAGCACGCTGCAGACCACTAGGTGGAGGCAGTGCTGCATATTTGATATTTACTTAGATATTATTATTATATTATTACTGATCAAGGAAATACCCTTAACGTGAAAATATGTTAACCACAACAGGAACCATTAACAATACAGACACCATATTAGTCCTCCAACAAGGTATATTTTCGGATGTACTTGCAAGCAATACTGTGAATAAAAATATACAGGATGCCTTTATTATTTTGTCCATTATATACTTCAATATACGTTTACATTATTTTTAAATCCCGTACTGTGAAACATATTTCTATCTAGGCCGGGTGGACTATAGAACTGGGACAGACATAAATATTACACATCAACAACAGCCCGCCTGAATCACGTGTGCTCGGTCTCAAGCAAGGGATTTGCAAAAAAATGAGTCACCGGTCTCGGTGAATGAGATTTCACTTCCTGCAATATTGTGAGCCGGTGTTTCCGCTCCAGCCGGCATACTAGATCTACACAGCATGTGCGCTGCCAGCTCTGCCCGCAGACAGCGAGTTAACCCCATCCAGCTGAGTGCACGTCAGTGAAAGTGCTCCGACACATCGTGCTCCAACGGAACCATTGAATTCAAACCGTGAATCACAGTCAGAAAAGGTCCGGGGGGGGGGGGACACTTGTGTTTCTGCAGGTCAGCTGCTTACCTGGGAGCCGGTGATCCACACAGGAGGTATTTGGATGGATTTATATGCTTTTAAGGCGTTTAAGTCACATGTCCTTTGCTT